TCAACTCATTCACTGCACCTGGTCAGTGACAAATATATGAACAGTAATTTACCCAACAGCTGCTAAAAACTTCTTTTTCTTTTGTCTGACAGTATAAATAGATTAAATTCATCATTAACACCTCCAACACTATGTCTGTCTCACCTTCCTTCATCACTTCTTCATGTCATTTCCAGCCAGACACCTGCTGGTCAAATATCAAACGACTATAAACCAAAATTGGGTCTGAATGTGATTAATTTGTGGTTTAACCGTCGTTGTTGAGCAGCTGCTTCACATGTTGGTGTCAGTTTGTTTGCTCTCAGCTGAGCTCAGCGCATTAATGAGGTTCATTAGCTCCAGCTTGGTTCAGTGTGCGCCGCCTCCCGCTGACCAGACGCTGCCAATTAACAATTAAAACGCGCTTCGTGGAGGCTATAAGAAACACACACTAAAGCGGCGGCGTTTCATTACAGATTTACTTTACAGATAAGCTTCCAGATCACCTGCAGGAGGAACATGAACGGTGTCCGGGCCGGGAAACCTGCCGAAGCTGCGCCAAAGCCGGTAGTAAAGTGCGCACAGTGTGGAGCGACTTTCACCAAACAGTGGAGGCTGAAGGAGCATGAGACGGCGCACACCGGGGCGGTAAGGCGCACATTTCCTCCGTTTACGCACATATGGACGTAAAACACGACGTAAAATGGCATCTTTGAAAGCTGACGTTGCACCAAAACGTCCACAGCGTCCGTGCGTGTGCGCAATTGCCGGCTGTGGTCGCAGTTTCTCCAGAAAAGCGCACCTGCGCCGCCACATGCTGCAGCACAGAGGCCTCAAACAGTTCAAGTAGGTCAGAAACAATCATTTTTTTTTTGCTCTCCTCTCAGCTGTCCTCTTATTTGTAACTTCCAATTTGTGCAGGTGCAAGGTTGCGAGCTGCGCAAAGAGTTTCGTGCACGCAGGGAAGCTGAAGAGACATGCGCGCTACGCTCATGGAGACAAAAACCAGTACTTCAAGGTTGGTCTGAGCGCGTTTATCCACCAGATGGCGCCACGACATTTGAAGCGTGGTGTGAAACAAGCAGTTTTCAAGCCTTTTTGTCCTCTGAATGTTCTCCTCCTGTAGTGCACGCAGCCCAACTGCTCCTTGACCTTCAGGAAGCGCAGATTGTTTAAGCTGCACTTGCAGGGACATGGAGTTTCTGCTGCCTTCAAGTACGTCTGTGTAATGTCGGATTATTCAGCCTCACAGAGAACAGAGT